TCAGCATCTTAGCTGTGGAGGGCAGTGTCACTGGCCCTCATATGTGGGATCCGAACCGGGGCCCTCTGGCGTCCCAAGCCAGTTCTTAACCACTGTGCCACTCGGCCGGCCCCCTCCTATGTCTTTTGATTAGAACATTTAATCCATTTACATTGAAAGTAATTATTGATATATATGTAGTATTGCCATTTTATTATTCATAATTTTGATTTTTTCCATCTTAAAGAAGTCCTTATAACATTCCTTGTGATACTGGTTTGGTGGTGATGAACTCCTTTAGCGTTTTTTTTTTTGTCTGGGAAGCTCTTCAACTATTCTTCGATTTTAAATGATAGCCTTGTTGAGTAGAGTACCCTTGGTTGTATTCTCTTGCTTTTCATCACCTTCACTATTTCGTGCCAGTCCCTTCTAGCCTGCAAAGTTTCTGTTGAGAAACCAGTTGACAATCTTATGGGAGCTTCCTTATAACTTACTCATTGCCTTTCTCTTGCTGATTTAGGATTCTGTCTATGTCTTTAACCTTTACCATTTTAATTATAATGTTTCTTGCTGTAGGCCTGTTTGGGTTCCTCTTATTTGGGACTCTCTGTCCTTCCTGGGCTTGTATGTCTATTTCCTTCACCAGGTTAGGAAAGTTTTCAGTCATTATTTTTTCAAATAGGTTCTCGATACCTTGCTCCCTCTCCCCTCTTTCTGGTACTCCTGTGATATGTGAATGTTATTACACTTGATGTCCCAGAGGTCTCTTAAACTATCCTCATTTTTAAAAAAATTATTTTTGCTGTTCCAATTGGGTGTTTTCTGCTGCCTTTTTTTCCAAATTGCTAATTCAACTCTCTATTTCATCTCTGCTGTTGATTTCTTCTAGTACATGCTTCATTTCATTTACTGTATTTTTAAATTCTTACTGGCTCTTTTTTATGGTATCTATGACCTTTTTTAATGCTAGCTTTCTGTTCATTGAAATTCTCACTAAGTTTCTTGGGCATCCTTATTATCACTGTTTTAAGCTCTATGTCTGGTAGTTTGCTTGCCTCCATTTCATTTAGTTTTTTTTCTGGAATTTTCTCCTGTTCTTTCATTTGAGACATATTTCTTTATTTCCTCACTTTGACTGCCTCTCTGTGTTTGCTTCTATGTATTAGGTAGATCTCTATGTCTCCCACTCTGGGCTGGGTGGCCTCATGGAATAGGTACAGTGTGGAGCACAGCGGCACAGTCTCCCTGGTAACCTATGCTGGGTGCTACATGAGTGTCCCTTGTGTGGTTGTATGTGCCCTTCTGTTATAGTTGAGCCTTGATTGCTATTAGCATGTCAGCGGGTGGCATTTACGCTCAGGCTGACTGGTTTGGGGATTTAGCCACACCCACAGCTTTCAGACTATTGTGCAGGGGACCTTACCCCACTGAGTGGGAACTGCCACAGGAGACTGTGGTGCCTGTTGAGACCATCCCTGGTGTGATGCTTGTGAGGCTAATTTGGCAGTGCTTTGCTGTCAAAAACTTTTAGTTTGATGAAGTTGTTTCCCTTGCCCAAAGAAATATATCAGTAAAAATCAGGTATTACTAAGGGTAATGTCTGAGAGTTAAATACCTATAGTTTATTTTAGGAGTTTTATGGTTTCGGGTTTTACATTTAAGTTTTTAATCCATTTTGAGTTTATTTTGTATAGGGTGAAAGAAAGTAGTCTAGTTTCATTCTTTTCCATGTATCTGTCCAATTTTCCTAGCACCATTTATTGAATGGACAGTCATTTTTTGTAATGTTTTTGTCAGGTTTTGTTATAAGGGTTATGCTGGACTTGTAAAATGAGCTTGGGAGACTTCTTTCCTCTACAATTTTTTGGAATAGTTTGAGAACATTAGGTGTCCATTCCTCTTTGAATGTTTGGTAAAATTCACCTGTGAAGCCATCTGGTCCAGGACACTCGCTTGTGCTACATAATTTTGGCACCCAATGCAAAATGAAAATGAAAATGTAGGGTTCCTTGTTCAGAGTTTATTGAGAACCCAGACATTGACAGCAGGACATTAAACCAAGTGTGGTGGTGCTCTTCTGAACCCAGGGCTCTCGTGGCCACAGAAAGCAACTCTGAGTCTGGGCCCCCGAGACTGTGGTGAACAAGCCAGAAGCTTCCTACTCCCCTGGAACTCATGTTCTTGGTGGGAAGTTCTGTAAACTTTCTAAATATTTTGTATCAAACACGAAGTAGAGGGTTATACTATAAAGCATTGCAAAGTCATCATATCATTTTTACTGTATGGAAGTTGCAGATGTTTCTGAGGCAGGCAGTGTGGGAACCTAGTTAGGGCATGTGGAGTGAGGAGCAGTGCTGGCCTTGGAGGCTAACTCAGGCCCTGCCACCTCCAACCCTTCTTGGCCTGAGGAGGTAGGGCCATTCTCCAGCTGGCTCAGCCTTTGCCTGGTCACTTCCTGAACCAGTTCTGACTGAACACAGAGTTCAGGAGCATTTCAAGGCATTTGGTTTCAGATTAATGCTTCTGTTGCAGGCATGGCCTTTGTCCATGTACCCATGGAGCCATGGTCACAGGACACCATGGCTTCCTCAGCCCCTCCCACTTCTACCATGTTCATCCAGGTGTGGCATAACTTGTCAGTTTACATGCTGTATATTCTTTCTGCATTGGTGTAAAATAAAGAAACAGATATGCCTATATATAAAATGAAAACTTCCAAAAGGATATGCAAGAGACAGAGATTGTTTCTGGGAAGGGCTCTAAGCAAATGGTTTGGTAAAAAGATTCACTTTTTATTGTATGTTCTATTAGACACTTTAATATTTTCTATTTGAATGTAATACCTCTTAAGTTATATAAAAATAGCTTTTTAAATAAAAGGTTTTTACATCCAAATTGGTAAGGATATTTTACCTTATTATAAATCTTCAAATGAAACACGTAATTGTGATAAAATATTGTGCTTTAAAGAAAATTATAATACATTTCAAAGATTGAAATCCCACAATGTGCTTTCTCTTCTCTTCAAAGAGTGTGAAGCTAGCAATCAATTTAAAAAGAAAATGTTTAGGGACAGCTAAGAGCTGGCTTGGGATTCCAGAGGGCCCCAGGTCGGCTCCCACATATGAGGGCCAGTGACACTGCCCTCTACAGCCAAGATTCTGAACAACAGCTCAACCTGGAGCTGGGCTGCCATGAGTCGCCGGTGACGGCGTGGGCTGCAGTCCCCTGTGGCAGTGGGTTGCCATGGGCTACCGTGTGTAGCCAGCAGCCAGCGTGAGCGGCCAGCAGCCGCAGTGAGCGGCTGTCCAGAAGCCGGAGACTGATCTGCCTCGCCTGGGAAGAGCGCAATGATGGTTCCAGCTTGGGCCAGTGAAGCGATGTCCTCCACAACTAGACTGAAGAACAAAAGGACAGCAACTGGTCTGTTTCCCTTCCCCCAATTCCCCAATAAAAATTTAAAAAATAAATAATTAAATAAAAAGAAAGAAAAAGAAAATGATTAAATATTGTCAACTTCAATGAATTCAGCAATACAGTTTTAGAAAAATTATAGAAGTAAAAAGCCATTGGGTCAGAAGGAAATCAGAATGAAAATATTAACATATTAATCTTCACACAAATATTAGCTTTCCAATGCTAGAGGAAAAAGAAAAACCCTTGTTCATTTTATTGCTGACCATCCTCCTCTTAAATTATGCAAGAAGCCAGCCAATATGTGCTCCAGATTCATATCCTTAAGTCACAAGTTTGAAAACAATTAAGGAATCAAAAACCAACAGGCAGAGGATCTTACCACTTCCTTCTCAATCGCCAGGCTTAGTATCAAAGGAAGGCTGTTAATTGGTTCAGCCTTGTTCACTCTACCACACTGTGGACCAATAGCTGTGGGCCACTGGCTGCCAGTCTCAAATTGGCTGAGCCAGTGGAGACTTGCACTTGAACTGCTCTCACTGGACAATCCCATCACCACTGAGGCATAAATGCATGTAATGAAATTTTGTGCTTTAAAAATTGAAATATTTTGGGCTAGAAAATAAGAAATTTGGGAAAGCCTGAATGAATTAAAATTGAAATTTCTAAGTTTAGTGCACTGGAAAAGTGAAGCATGTGTTGGAAATTTCATTTATCCATGTACTATCTTCATGTACTCATTTATGTAAACTTAAATGACAGTGTTGAGATATGTTGAAAAACGTCGGAGGTACGTTGATGTGTACATTGACTTCGATACTTTATCTATGGCTCTATCTAGAAAATTCCACAATATACTCATGGAGAATGAGAATAAAAATGGTAAATAAAACTACAAAAATAATTTAGACCTTACAGAATACTATCAAAACTAACAAAGAAATAACTTGAAACCACTGTTTAGCAAAGTGACGAAATGCAGTATGGCTAAGGAAAACTCACAATTTTCTATGGAATAAATTACACTATGTATTAGTGTTGATAATGTTTAATCCATGGTGAAAACGTTTTAAAAGTTGGCAGGAAGCCATGGGGTCAAACACGAGAGTCGATCCCACTTTTAGGGCTACAGGTCTTTTTGTGAGAAGAGAGGTGGCTCTGAAAAGAGCCTTTGGGTTGCGACGTTCAGGTGTTGCCCAAGCAACTCATTTGTGGCAAATGTACCGGAGGACGGCATTGGTGCCCTCATGCACCGCGAATCTGCCAAGCTTCCCGGGCAAGAGCAGGCGCACGGCCGTCTCGATCTCTTCTAAGTTGATGGTGGCGCGCTGGGTGTTGCGGACCAGGTGTGAGGCCTCGTCGATGATACGCTCAAACATGTCCTTCACGAATGAATCCATGACGCTCACGGCTTCCTGCGACAGGCTCAGGCCCTGGTGAACGTTCTTCAGAACCCTGTGGAAGTAGATGGTGAAACTGTTGGTGCTGCGGCGGCGGCGGCGGCGGCGGCGGCGGCAGTGGTGCTTGAGCTGTTTCTGTTTCAGGATTTCTGGCGGGGCTTCAGCAGGCTCGGTAGTGCCCTCAGGTTCCTCAGAAGGCGCTTCAAAGATAGGCTCAGCCATGTCGGAGACGACGACACCACAGGTAGTCAGGCAAGACTGGCGGCTGCTGAGGGGCGGCAGGCCAGTATATATGCGCTGATTCTCTGACGTCACGGGCAGCCTCCACATCTGATTGGGTGAAATGCCATGCTGGGAGGGTGTCACAAAGTCACGCTATGCTACATGTGATTGGACAGGCTCCTGCTTGGCAACACATCCACCAATCAGAGTGACGATACGTCCACCTTGGACCGTCCTGTGCCTTCCATCAGAAAAACCTTTGAAAGATGCTACATAGGGCAAAACGTCATGTGACAAAGTTTGCTGATTGATGCTCCAATAGAAGAAATTTGAAAAGACTTCACCAAAAGCACCTGAATCGTAGACATTTCCGTTTAGGTTCCTTGAGAGAGTCTGACCTTCGTAACCCAATTCCTGACTGCCATCAGAATGACTCTGGCCACTTTGGGTCCTTTTCCTCTAACCCTGAATCTAATGTTGTCCTGGGCTAAGCCACCGTGGCTCAAGCAGGAACTATCTGACTTGGCCAAGCAGCATTTGTGGACATTAAGGACACGATTGGCTAACTGCTCCCTACAGATTTGATCAAAATGGAGCTCAGTGAGTCAGAAAAACGTGGAAGAACAAAACCAGTTTCCAAACAGAAATGGGAAAACTTATAATATTACAAATACTTCAATGCTTACCAAATTTAAAATTGTTTTCTTAACATTACTCGAGTCCCAAAATGCATGATACATACTTGAACTGGTGGATCAATATGAGTCCTTGATTTAAAAAAAATCCTAATTGTCTAAGAAACTACCTTGGGGAGAAAAGTAAGACATAAATGGGAAATACTTTAAAATTTATAACATATGCCTCATCAAGAAGCTCACTGGTGAAAGGTTGAAATCTTTTCTTCTAAGATCAGGAACAAGAAAAGAATGCCCACTTTCACCACTCATATTCAACATAGTACTGGAAATCCTAGCCAGAGCGAGCAGGCAAGACAAAAAAAAAAATGTGTCCAAACAGGAAAGGAAGAAGTATACTCTCTCCTGTTTGCAGATGATATGGTCTTTACGCCCCCCCCAACCCACCCCCGAGTCAAGCCATTGTTATCAGTCTAGTTGTGGAGGACAAGCAGCTCTCACTGGCCCATGTTGATATTATGAGCATTGCACTCTACCCGGATGAGGCAGCCGGTCGCCGGTCGTCACTCACGGCAGTTCACGGCACCCCAGATCCAGGTCGAACCTTTGTTCACAATCTTAGCTGTAGAGGGTGCAGCTTACTGACCCATGTGGGAATCGAACCGGCCACTCTGTTGTTCAGAGCTCGCACACTAACCAACTGAGCTATCCGGCAGCCTGTGGCTTCTTCTTTATATCCTTAGTTATAAGAATTCTGTTCAGCTAGTCTTCAGGTGGTTCTCAATGATGGTTGTTCTATAATTTAGTTGTAATTTTGATGTGGTCCTGGGAGAAGGTAAGCAGAGCACCTACCTACTCTGCCATCTTGACCGGAAGTCACTGACTTGGGTGGCCTTGATGACTATCCAGGTATTTTGTCATGCACCCCTGGGAACTTTGTTTTAAGGAGGACTCAGGTGCATCATTACTGTTCTTCTTATAAATATTGGACTAGCTTAGTGAAGTCTCTCCCTTCTAGGTACTCAGTGCATTTTCCTTGATGGGATATTCCCAGAAAGGTAAAGGTCACAGGACTTCCAGATGATGTCCTGTATCTCACTCTAGGGTCTGGTTCATCAGACAGGCATTAGTGTTTGAGCATCTGAACCAATCAGTAGGTCCTTGTAACCATGTTCCTCTGGATTTACCAGCTCAAAAAGAAATATTTTAAGACCAAAGGAAATGCCATATCAGAGGGGATCACTTCATAAATTTTATAAATGCCTAACCACTATGCTGTATGCCTGAAACAAATAATATTAATAATAATAATAATAATAATAATAATAATAATAATAATGGAAATGCAGCACCGATTTACTTCACCTAGCTCAATCTACTTTTGGGAAGTAATTCAAGTGGAATTGCTTAAGCAAGTGTTTCACTAAGCCAACTGCTATAGTGTGGGGTTGTAGACATCAGGGGCTGTCTCTGCTTTTCCTCCTCCTTCAATTCCTTCTGTGACCCCAAACCTGCCCCATATATGAGGCTTTGAAAATGTATACATTTGTAGGCAAGATGGAGAAGCATGGGCTGCATCCTAAGGCCTCAGATGTTAGGGAGTCCCTGAAAGAATTGGACCACAAGTTAACTGTGGCCCCAAATAGGAAATTGGATATTGGGATCAGTTTCTGGCACAGCTTTGTTTAGCATGTATTCACTTGATAGTTCTCATTTCTGTCCATCTGTTCATCTATGTCTCTATGTCCAGGCACCCGGGAGTGGGAGAGGATGTCTATAATGGTTAGAAACTTCATGCTGCTTAGGGTGAAAGTGCTGCCCTGGATTATACAGCTTCAGTACATTTGTAAGGTCACCCGGACAGGGGTAAGTCAAGTAGAAAACTATTCCAGAGTTTACCACTGTGACCCAGAGAAGCAAGGGCTTTGTTGTATGGACATACCACTTACATGGCTCCCAGCAGCATCTCAAGAAGTGGGTATTGGATGACACTGTTTGTTAGATTTCTGAAGGCTGTTCATTCCTGGACACCTCTCCCATTGTTAAGGCATGTCTGTTTCCCCCCTTCTTGGCTCTGAGCAGGCCTGTGTTTGCTTTACCAATGGAGTACACAGGAAGTGATGTTTTGCTCATTATAGAGCTAATCTTTAAGAGGACACATAGCTTCTGCCTTGCTGTTTGAGAATTCTGACCAGCCATGTCAAAAATCTGCCTATCCTGCTGGACATCCCCTTGGAGAGGTCCCTCCAAGACATGGGGACGTGAATGTACATTGTCTCTTACATTGCAGAGCGGTTTAGACATCAGCTGAATGAATACCACTTAGTGACCCTAACTTGGTTTATGCTTGAAGGACCACTTATACTTTTAATTTGGAAAATAAGTATAATAAAAAATTTAACAATCTTCCATTGAAAATACAAAGTCACTTGAAACATTATTATATACATTATTTTAAATATTCAGCTTTGTGTGAAAAGTGACAGAAAGTAATAGTCCACTGAGACCTTTAATCATTGTAGATTCTTGAATGACTGCACCTTTAAAGAAAAACTTGACTTTTCTTATTGGGAAAGGAAGATACCAAAAAACATAAACAAAAAACTGTTCCATATTCTTGATTTTGGGTGGGGTAAGATCTCCTTGAGAATTTGTAATCAAAAGAGTTCCTGCGTGTAGCTTTGGGATTCACATGAACACTGTCTTCATGGTGCAAATAAATCACTGCTGTAAACTCTTCAGTGGTTTTATCATCATATACATTTTCTAGTAATAAAACTTTTTTTTTCTTCCTTAATGATTGAAACCATTTTATTAGTAGTAGCAATAGTTGTTCCTTGAAGGCCTTATAGGAAATACACTTGGAAGCCTGACCATTTGCATCATAGCTCATTGAAGCTTTCCATTTCTCCAATTCTTTTAAAGTCCTATTTGGTTCAAATTCTGTAATTTATTTTTATACAAATGAAGAAATGCTTTTGCCTGTATTATCGTAGAGTTTTAAAAAGAATATGTTCCTAATTTTAATATATTTCCCTTGTATTGATTATTTTTTTTTTCTTAAAGGTTTAGTTTCTTTTCTTTTTTTTCCCCTTGTATTGATTCTTTTTCTCTCACTCTGACGGTTTCTTAGAGAATTGGGGTAATCACTTCTTTCAACTAACAGCTCATATTTTTTAATCAATTCAAGAACGTGAGGTTATTTGGGGGACCTAAGTAATGTTAAAAATAAATTTTAAATTGGGTAAATTTGAGAGTTCTGAGCTGCGAAGTAAAAAAAAAAATCTGCCAATCTTTCTGTTAAATATGAAATATATAAGTATCTCTAATTCTGTGTTCTGTCTTTGGAGGAAGTGGTTTTACCACTCTTTTTTTCTCTGATTCACCAAGGGTTTTGATCAGAATTGGAAGTAATAGTTGGTCAATTGTGCCCTATGATGGGTAGGAGCACCCTGCTGGCCATGTCAGAGAGTTACTGCTAAAGCCACAGCGGCTCAGCCCTGGAAAGAGTAGATTCTGGGTTGGAGGTTTCGACACTGAGAAAGAAGATACCTACTGAGAAGAAGGACACTGAGAAGAAGATACCTGGTGGCTAACTGAGCTCAAATTTAAAAGCAGAGCCTAGCAGCAGTTTCTAAACAGGGGTTTCTCAACAGGGGCCTCTCACACAAACCACACTTCAGGGGGAAGCCTGTACTAAGCCATCTGCCTCTTGCACTGAACTGCCTGCCTGCACTGTGTTCCTGCCATCGGAGCCAGCCCTTTTAAGGCAATTCCTGGAATACTATGGCTTCCCCGTCAAATCCGAGCTGTGCTGCTATGTCCCCCAACGGCACCTTCACTGACCAATCAGAGAGACTCCATTCTGACCAGTCAGGACAGTGCTTTTTGGACCAATCAAACTGTGAGGATTTGGAGTCCTCATTTGCATGAGGATAGACAAATCAGGGATGAGGGGCGGAGACTTTTGTCTATATATCAGCTCCCCTCCGGCTTGGAGACCTGACTTTCTGTTTACACTGAGAACTGAGTTTCCCCGGTTAGAGCTGAACCATGGAAGAGAAGAAACAAAGGAAGAGAGGAAACAACCAAAGACGACTCACCAGAGCAGACGCTGCCGAGCTGCCGAGCTGCCGAGCTGCCGAGCTGCCGAGCTGCCGAGCTGCCGAGCTGCC